ATTTATCTTTAATTTGCAATTGATTTGATTAAAATATCTTTTGTAGTTTTTGAATAATAAAAAAATCAAAACAATCGTTAATGGCTGAATACACTGTACAAATAATTAAAATGTTTGATAATTATTATAACGTGGAAAATACCTTTAAAATATATGGCATTCAAAATGATGAGTGAAGTGTCGGGTTTTATTTCGTCAAATATTTTCTGTATCTTATTATTGGTTTTATTACGAATCCATTCATTCACTCTTTCCGTCTCTATTACCCCATTATTGACAAAATCAGCCGATTGTATGTCTCCCTTATAATACTCTTTTATATTATTGATGAAAGTGTCCAATAGTTGAAGATCTTTGTTGTGAATGACTTTATTTGCAATATTTAATTGATGTTTGTAATCGTTTGGATCATATATTTCATATGGACTTTGATTTGGTTTATTTTCTTTCACTTTGAAGATATCTAAATAGAAATAATTATAAAATATTACATTTAAATAAATAATATATTGGTTATACGAAATTATTATTTCTAAACTTACCATCATTATGATATTTGTTATTTAGCGCTTTGAACGCAGTATTAATGGTCTCATCACTGAATTCTGTCAATGAATTCTTGTAACGAAGGAATTGTTTCAAATCTTTAAGTGTTTTACCGTTTGCTCCGTTCATAAGAATACCTATTATTGAAAACTGTTAGTAAAATATAACATTTAATTTCTCATTACTTAATGCGGAAAGTATTGAAATGGGAGACAACACATCGTTTCCATCCTTTGCTAATGTGTTGAATATATTAAACGTAAACTCATTATTTGCATTCACGACCAACTGATCCAAGGATTCAGTATTGGATACTTCATGTGATCGCTTCCCCACAACTTGAAATTCACTGTCCGGTAGTATTACTAATAATGCCAACAGTAATTCACCAAGCATTGTTAAATCTGTTTAAACGTAATACCTTTAATATATTAAATAATAAGTTAAATTATAATAATATTTGCTCTTATTTTAACTGTTGTCCACAACTAATTTTTCTGATAGTTATTTCAATATCTAATACTATTTATATACTTTATTTCAATTACTGATTACAGACAAGTCTACAATAATATTTGTCACTTATTTCTCAGTAACCATTTGTTTATATTTGGTAATAGATATGCGAATACAGACAACAGGAAAGTGCGTAAGGAATTAATTAGAAAAGTGTACAGTATATTAAATTAATATAATTTTAATTTTAAGAACTTATACAACTATTTTTAACAAAAATTACTAATTAATTAAATAATAACGTTGTTTTATAAAATAATGACATTTTATTTTAAATAAACATATATTTATAAAATATTTACAAATTTTTGATAAAACATGGTTGGCTTCCAGGCCATCGATTTTTATATACATTAATATGTCTATCAATTATAAAACAGTGAATTTTTACTATTAAACAATATAATCTTAAAAATTAACAAAAAGTATTAACAAATAAAAGATAATATGAGCCAAAATACTGTCATACAAGCGCTTAACCGAATAGACCGCCTCCTGTGCCCGCCTTCTTGCCGGCGGCGGCTTTAGCTCCAGCGGCGGCGGCCTTAGCGCCGGCAGCTTTGGCAGCGGCTCCGGCTTTCGCCGCGGCCTTAGCACCGGCTGCGGCTGCGAAACCTTTCTTACCGGCTGTGGCGGCCTTTTTACCGCCGGCGGCCGCAGCGGCGGCTGCTTTGCCGAACTTCTTGCCACCGGCACCGGCGGCGCCTCCGGCAGCGAACCCGCCGCCAGCCTTTCCGAACTTAAAGCCCTGAGACATACCGAACGTCTTGACGGCACCGAACTTAGCGTTGTGTCCGGCGGCGAACGCTTTGCCAAACTTTCCCTTTTTGCCCG